CTCTGCTTCCAGACGACCGTTTAGTTTAAATCAAACACCATTCGAAAGCAAATTGGCTGCTGCCGTATTTTATGGCTACGCCGCGAAGCAAGTGGCGCAGCCGCTTGCTGGCGCAGCCGCTTGCGAAGCAAGTGGCGCAGCGCGTGAGGAGGGTGCGTCTGTCCGTTACCGAGGTCCCAACTTGGTGGTGCTTTGCGTGGACTACAGGCCAGACCGTTGCACCTAGCCCGGTGAAATTTGCACAACTTATAGATCAAGGATGCGCGACGTGCCTTTGAGGGGTCTTTTCTCGATCGGATTGATAGGGAGCGCGTGGCGCGTGCTCAAAAAGTGCAAATTCGCGTCATAGACTTTACATGTATAAATCGGCGTGCGAAATCGGGCGAAAACGGCTAATTTTGGCCGACACGGGTCCAGTTCCCGTGCAATATCTTGGTGACCAGGGGTCCGACCGGCACGTGGAAAACAGCATCGTGTACAGAATTGAAGGGGCTATTGAATGGTGTGCAATGCAGAGGATAGCACGCGCCACGTGCACCGGAGAGGGCACTTTTATTTGAAAAATTGCGTTTTTTGAGGGATTTTGGAATTAATTTTATTTTTAGGTGACCGTAAAATGGAGCGAGTTGAATCAACGCCTATTTGCAAGAGAAAGGTACCGCCTCTCATATAAAAATTGTGAATAGCTAATTGATCGACGCCAAGGTGGTACAAATCGCTAGAGAAAATGGTGTTTGTCGATGATGTGTCACTTTATTAATTACACGGGTTTAGCTGCATAACCTGATACGTTTGGCAATTGAAAATGGCACCGTTGGAAAGAGCATTCAATTCTGTCCAAGATTCACTCTTCATGTTTGCATGATGAGCAACAGTATTCTTAAAAATGTAAATGTTCCAAACCATTACATTGTCATTTTTAGCGAAATTCAGCGATGGCCCTCAAAAGACTTCACGCCAGTTTTCGAATCATTCTAAAGTAGAACACATGATAATACGACACGGGCACCTCGATGCGATGTATCTTTTTTGTTTCATTACAAAATGCTCGGCCGTCAAAAAGCAATCGAACGAAATGGATACCAACCAAATCGACACAGACCAAACCAATACCCAAGGGTAAAAATAACCCTTCTTCGCGTTGCGGAGCACGCGGGTAACCCTAGTTGATACTATTCAGTACATTTTTTGTCTACCATTTTCTTGAATTTTGATTCCAAATAGGCAATGTATCTGTTTTTCAATGGTGTTTTTATAATACCATTCTGATATCATCCTTTTTTCAGGCTTCAAGCAGAACTGATGACATTGATGGTAAGCAGTCATTTTTTTCTTAATTTCCCTTAGGTATTAAAATGTAGTTTTGTTCATGTTTGTTCATTGTTAAGGATTTCAATGAAATTTGTCACATTTTTATTTTGCTTTGTTTAAGTGTAGATCATAAAATCCATTATAGTGAAGTCTTCATTTGCTCTTCAATCTTCATCGCTTTCACATCAATGAATGAAATGAATGAATTCCACATTGCATTAACCCGCGCCGGGCCGGTGCTCTGAGATTCCGCGCCGGGCCGGGGGGGGGGGGTGTCTGAGCACCCCCCCCCATTCTAACTCGGCTCCTGGGCCACGTAGCGACACGCGGTAAGGAGCAATCGAAAGAACGCCCAAAATAAGGACGAAAACACTTCGGTCATCTTTTGGGTCAGGTCAAAGGTCAGGTCACCAGAGGTCACCAAAGGTAAAATGTTGACTATTTCAACATTTTGGAAACTGTCAACGGCTATCTCCGGAACCGATTGAGTTACAGCGCCGCGGAAAAGCGCATTCGATAGCCCTTTTACAGACCTTTCTGAGTAATGATCTCAGATTTGACCTCAGGTCAACGGTTTAGCCTTCAGAGGGCAAAAACTCCAAAAATAGCCGTTTTTACGAAAAGCGGTTTTTCGGCAATAACTTTTGACTCAAAAGAGCCATGACATTACTTTTGCCAGCATCGTGTTCCTCTCGTCGAGACGCGTCGAATGAACTATAATTTGACTTTGAAAGGTCAACTTGAAAATTTGACCTCAGGTCAAGGTCATGACCTGACCGGAAAAGGTCATGTTGCATATCTGTCGATCCGCAACGTCGAGCCGAACACATCTAAGGCGTTTTCAGCGCTCTAGCACGCCTCTATCAAAAGTTATTAGCGAAAAACTGTTAGATTCTGTTCGTGACCTGAGATGACCTCGGGGACATAACGAGGGGTCATAGCTGCCATTTGTGTAAGCGCATTGAAATTTGTCTTTATTTACCGAAAATCAACACCTCCATTCGCCTCTGTTTATCAAAATAAATAACTTGGCCAATCTGCAAATGAGAGGCACCCGCCGCCGATCGTCATGCATTTTATTGTCAAAGGCCCTTGAACCCGGCTGCCAATGCCTGGAAGCAAGCTTGAGAGCCGAGCAAAATTTGAAGAAAAAGCACCTTTTTCCAGCGCGTGCCACGTGCAAACCATCCACCCCTCGAGACTCGAAACACGCCACTGCACGTGCGCGTGACGTCATCAACACGCTGCGAAAATTTCAGCCCCATCGACCGCACCGTTTGACCTGCGCACGGCGTCAAAGCACACCTCTGCACGGTGCAAACAGACACACAGACAGAGTTTCATTCTACAAATAGTATAGTAGATATGCAAGGTCATGACAAAAAAGGCGCATTAATCATCCTTTGTGACATGCAGTCATCACCAAATATGTCTAATCCAAATTACTTTCCTCCTATTTGCCGTGGACTAGGCTTAAGCCAACCAACACCTGTAAATCCGTTATTACAGCATAACACACCATTTCACCTCCTCAACTATGGACCTTGACATGTCTAGGTACTAATCCCACTTCAACCTTTCCGGTTCGGCGTCCGTCATCTACTCAATGACCGTTCACCCTTGATCTGCGACAATGCACGTGAACTTCCCCTGACTGATCAACACACCCTACCGCCAGATAGTGATCATTTCAACTCGCCGACATCGAACATCCGCGACGACCGCAATGATACGATCCATGGGATTACATCCTTCGAGACAGATACACAATACACATCCCAGCGATCTGTCATAAACTGACCGTTCGGGCATCACAAACACAAACCCGACGACAGATCGTCGGCTCATGTGAACGTTTGGCTCGCCGGAAATCCGGTGGACCGTCAACCTGCAGAAGACACGCGATCGGCATGCAAAATACCGGGGGAGACAGGCATGGCCGAACCGCCGCGGGACGGGTCATAAACATGCGACTAGGAGCAGCGAGAGCAGCGCGACGGATCGTGCAGCGGGCCGGCGGTGACAGCCAAACAGAGCACTGTTCCATAGCGTGGAGAGGCAGGGAAGGGAAGGGGGAAAGGCTGGGGGAAGTGACGCATGTTCACGGATAAAGTAGATACATAAATACACTGAGAAAGCATACCGGGAGCCAGACACTCACACCTTCAAAAAGACAAAAAAAAATTACACATATGGGCAAACGAATCAGACAGAAAGACTGACTGAAAAACAGGCAGACAAACAGAACACAGACACAAGACGGGCTGAAAGAATACGGAAGAAAAATAGACAGCCAACCGAATGGGCGCATATACAGAAAGACATAAAGACACATAGACAGAAAGAATAACGGACACAGAAGCAGACAGACAGAGACACACATGAAGTCGCCCCGTTATCCTCTGAACCCTCCCTCACGCTGCCGACCCGGGGCCGGAGCCGGCGGATTACTCCATCCCGCCACCGGTTCAGCACAGCGCACGCAGAGTCACGGACAGACGAGATCCGGCGAATCTGCGCCCCTCTCAGACGAACTGAGCGGAGCGCCGGGGTCACGGCGGCGCTCAGTGGGGGTCTGAGACCCGGGGCGGCCCCAGGAGGTACTCAGACCGGACGGAGGGGCTTGACCCGCTTTGAGGATCAGCCGCCTGGATCCGGTGTTGGTTTGGGATCCGGTATGTGTACGCTGTGAAGGCCGGATGACAACGGAGAGAAGGGAGGGCTAATTGGCGGGTCGTATACGTGCATTGGTGGCTCAGTAGTTGCGAAGGACAGAGAGGTATTTAGGCTTCCGTTATTTAGATTTTGGGAATCCTGTTTTGTTCTTGGGTTGTTTACGGATCTCCCGCCGTAGCAAAGAAGAATGCATGACGACACCTCTCGACCAGACTTTCTCCTCTTCTTCATGCGTCATGCACGGCAGTGCTAAAATCAAGCCATGGAGCTCAGAAATAATTGTTATTCAGAGCAATGACCGACGATGGGTGCCTTGAGCCACGTGCAGTTTGAGATATCGTGATAGTTAAGCCGTATGTAAGCACACACACCTGCATAATAGCCATTAGCGTCGGCTGATTTCAGACCACCTGCGAATAACCCGCTCACATTCCCAGACAGAGCAATCCAACATAATTCCAATTCAACGTCATTCAACATCGAATAATTATGTCTAAGGGTGGGATGAACACATATTTACAAGAAATGCAAGTAACTTTTTATTGTAGTTGTTGAATTAATTGAAATTGACGCCTCGTAAGTCATCCATCTCAAATCTCAATGTATTCTCTCCTCGTTTCAGATCTTTCCTTTCATTCAGTCTTTCCTTCTGCATTCCATTTCCCGATGCCTTTTTCACCACACCTCTGCTTTAACCGTCCCGACAAGCGTCTACCCACGCTGCATACGGACCAGCGCCGGACGTCATACTACGAGCCTCTCACTGCGACCTTTCAACCCCGGTCTGATACATAACCATTCATCTTCTCTGTGCTACGGGTCATGACCCCTGGCATCCGGCCGCCCCCTTTGCCGCGCCCCGCCTCCATTAGGTACTACCCTCCCGCCCCTCTCCCTTCTCTCTGCCTCCTCTCTCTCTCTCTCTCTCTCTCTCTCTCTCTCTCTCTCTCTCTCTCTCTCTCTCTCTCTCTCTCTCTCTCTCTCTCTCTCTCTCTCTCTCTCTCTCCCCGTACCGTTCTGTGCATGGCCTCGCGCTGCAGCATCTCGTCCCTGCGCTGCTGCTCCTTCTCCTGCAGTTGCAGCTCGATGGTTCGCCGCTGCTCCTGCATCCTGCACAGCTGGCGCTCCACCTCCTGACGCTCGGCCTCCTCGGCGGCGGCCCGCCGCTGCTCCACCTCCAGCTGCTCGCGCAGGAGCCGCTCCTCCTCCTCGAGTCGCTGGCGGCTGCTCATCTGCTCCGCCATCCGCTCCTGTAGCCGGCGCAGCTCAGCCAGACGCTCCTGGCGGGCCGACTCGATGGCCGCGTCTCGGCGCTCCATCTCGGCAGCGTAGTCGGCAGACAGTCTGAGGGTGTGGGGAGGGAGGTCAGGGGACAATTCAGGGGGAGCGGGTAGTTGTCAGACAGTCTGAGGGGAGGGCGGGGAGGCCAGGGGACACTTTAGGGGGGCTTAGTCGGCAGGGAGTCTGAGGGTGCGGGGAGGGAGGTCAGGGGACACTTTAGGGGGAGCGGGTAGTTGGCAGACAGTCTGAGGGGAGGGCGGGGAGGCCAGGGGACACTTTAGGGGGGCTTAGTCGGCAGGGAGTCTGAGGGTGCGGGGAGGGAGGTCAGGGGACAATTCAGGAGGCGGGGGAGGGGTAGTGTGCTGGCGGAGAGTCTGAGGAGCGGGCAGGGAGGACAGTGGACAATTCAGACCAAAGGTAGCTGTTCTGAAGGTACGGACAGAGAGGTAAGATACCCGGATAAAAGCGTAGCGATGATGGCGGACATCAAGAGCCAAGTATATGGGCCATCAATACGATACTGGCACCAGCCACACGTTTCGTCTTCAATTTAAATTAAATGTCTATGATTTTAATCAAACTGCGTAATGAATCTCCAATAACAAGATCAATTGTATCAGAAGCATGGCAATTTAACTGGTTAACATCTGTTCCATCCACTAAATTGTGGTTCAATACACTGACTCAGTCCGGTGTCTCACCAAAACAACCCACCTACACAACACAACAGCATCTTTAGTCACCGACACACTACTCTCATCCCTCTAAAACCGGTCTCTCACCCGTCGGCCCCATCTCGGTGGCCCCTGCCCTGCACGAGCTGCACGTTTCCGGCTACACTGTCGGGCGCCAGGCGTGTGATCACGACTGCAGTCCCCATCCCACTCCACTGTCAATGGGGCGGCTGGGAGACTGGACGGGGGCGCGCCGGCTCCATAAGAGGAGGGATGGCGGCGCACGCGACAGCGCGACACCTTCCGCTCGAGAGGCGGCAGCTGGAGGAAGGGGTGGCCCTGTCTGACCCAACCCTGTGTTGTATAACATGGTTGGCAATGCACCCAAGTGTTCAGGGGCGCGCGACTGCTGTAATTGTATAGCTGTGACCGATGTATCCAGACGGTGTACAACACCGTTAGGGCAGTACGGGCCGCCCGGTACAGTTCCGTCCTGTGTTTACACCCTCTCAAAGAGCACTCCTACACTCTTGAAGCAAGTACGTCCTAAGATAATAATTTATCATACTGCAGAGAATGAAGTTTTAGGTCTGGGTGTCTATCAAAGATAAATTATCCAAAAACACGATATCGGTCTTCGCTAGAAACAAATTACGAACTAAGCCACGTCGGGTCATACGAATTACGGAGACCGTAATCTACAAAAGTCGCCGACACGAAGCCCTTTATCAGGCCGCCACTACAAACGATACCGTACAATCAGAGCACGCCAGGTCCCATCTGCCATCGCTGGCGGTCCGGCTGAGCCGAATTTCACACCGCAAGGCCCGGTTCGAGGACCGTGCGGGTTAGCCTCACCTGCCCACATCCTATATCTCACGATAAACGGAGCCACACGACAGCCAGTTCACACACACTCGGCTTCCCAGGGGCTGGTGCTGAGAACAACCCCTGTCTCGAGTGTATAGACATTGCAAGCGTAATGGGCTGCACCATTGGATAGATTTACTCATCCCATTTGCCGACCTTGATGTGTGACCCAAGGACCAGAGATCATGTCAATTTGAGAGACCATAGACGGGTCTACTCAGCACACTACCGAGCTCATATAGAAACAATGATCCAGTGCGACAGCACAAGCGGATGTTCGTGACCTCTGAGAGAAACATGCATTGTTCTGAGGTGTTGTGCCACCGGCAGCCGAAGATTTTCCCTTGACACTGTCAAAGCTGAACAATACGACAGCTTCCAACCGCACCAAGACGATTGGAGAGAGGAGGTGGATTCAGCGGCCAATTGGGAGGCACCTGCTCTAGAGTCGCAAGTCGGGCTGGGGAAATATTCTACCTCAAAATACGAAGGTGTTCTGGAGCATATTTTACCAATCAGACTTGACTGTGTAGAAGATGCGCTAACCCAGGCCGTTTTATTGTATGTACATGTGATAGATCCAATGGCCATGATTTACAGCTCTTACAGAGGAAGAGGTTCTGGGCCGAAAATGCCTATTTGGAACCAGCTTTAGATGCGTAGGTAATAGGTATACTGCTCCTTAGTCCCTCATTTGTCATATTTTACTTGGCCATTTTAACCACAAAACAAACAAAACCGTCGTAGTAATTTGTGCATCTCCAAACCAGATAGCATGTCATCGAAAGGTGCCCACTGCTCATACCAAGACTACCTTTTATCTAACCACCGGCTAGGCATTTACCAGACCGGAACAGGGTGTGGAGCGGATGTCGGCGATCCTCTGATAAATCGCCGCCTCTAGTGGTGAAAGTGATTGAGAGGGCACACCTGCTGAGGGCCCGGTCAAAGAACAGCCAGGACACTGACAAATGACGCCATGGAAGTGGCCTATCCTGCATTGGGGTGCCCACAGGGTGTCTCACATCCCACAGTCCGCACTCTCCACACTCATTGGGATAACTAGTTATCTGATAATATTCTCAGGCATGAGAGACGATTGGCTAAAAAAAGCGAACTACACTCACCATAAGAGGCCAGCGCGATCCGGCTACAATTCGAACGAAAAGTGACACAATCTCGTCTAACAGCTAACTCTCCGTCTAGCTGCGTCCTCTTGCAAGTTAATTTAGGCCCACTTCCAAGTTAATTTATCCTGCGATCCACAACCAACATAGCTTATCATCCTTAGACATAGCTCCTACCCATCACTTACTTGTCCTGCGCTGCGTCGTGCATCTTCAGCTCCTCCCGCTGACGCTGCCGGCTGGCCAGCTCCTCCTCCATCTGCTGCTTCAGCTTGGCCATCCGTTCGGCTCGCTCCCGCACCATCCTGCCGTAGAGGAGAGAGAACGTCAGAGGGGCGAACAGCGCAGTCGGATGTGCGGAGGATGAGGGACGGATGTTGTTTGGAAGGCATCACGGTTATATTTGCATCGGCTGGATTATGTCAAACGACCTGTAAAAATAGCAATCATGGAATCTGGTCGGTAGACTCAGATTCGCATGCGCCATGTGCGGCTTGACTGATAAAAAATGAGTGGATTATTCTGTGCACATTTGGGAAAAAGAATGCCACCTTGATCATACGCGAATTTTTCCCTTATTATAATGTAAAATAAAAAATATGCTATGGTACTGGTGCCGCGTGATCTGAATTAAAATAAGCGGTTGGCATGCACCATGTACCTACCAAGAAAACCTTAAAGACTGGCAACGTCATCAATTAATGAACACATCCCCTGAACATCTTTATCAGGATTCGCTTGCATTCAGCTGCCACCGGCCCTACCGCAAATCCTGGCGACTACCGGAGACCCATCCTTCCACAGACCACCGCTGGGAGCCGCGGCAGCTCCATTGACATTACATGCAGCTCAGCACCTACTGGTACATGCAGCTCCACACCTAACCGCCTCAATGACGGCCGAGCGGCAGCTATCTACGATGTCGCGCGTCGCGTCTAGGCACCGGCCGCACCCATCAAACCGTCATATCGTATCGTCCATCGATGGCCACATCGTTTCCGGCCGCTCCCGGCTCAGCGGCAGAAAAATCGAACGAAACTGTCCCCGCCGAGCTGACAGTAACAGGCCTAGCGGTGTAACGAACGGCATCAAAGGGGTATTTGCTTATCAAAACTCATCGATTACTCGTAAATCCAGGGATTGCGATAAGCTAATTCGGTCACGGGGTCGTTTTTCAAACCATGGATAGAGCATTTTTCGTATTCATGTGGTCGGTTTTCGTTGATTTTTTCCCCAGTCTGTTTGGCTGGTCGCCCGCGCCCTCACTCGCTCAGTCCGACAGCGACCCCACCCCCGCTCATCGCGTATTCTGCCGTGTCGGTGCGGCTCCGTCGGCATTCGAGGGCCGGCGTCGGCACTCGGCGCTCCCCGGCCGGCCACAGGGGCGGGGCAGGTGACTTCACCGCGCCGCCGCCGCCGCTGCTACCGGCGCCTCGCGGTGACATCGTGGTCACGGCACGAGGCGCAGGGATGTCCCTGGGACGGATGTGATCCGTCCCGATACTCCAATGCCTTACATGTTACCAAAAACAGCGAGTCTGAACGCCAAAATCGACGACAGAATGGTTCGGGGCCGCTGTATCCCATACACCAGCCGGTCAGCCGGCCGGCCGCGCCCCAAAGTCCTTCACTAACTTCCTCTGACCTGTACAAATGACATACACACCGCGCGCGCGATGGGGGCGCGATTGGAGCGCTACACCCCGCCGCGCCGACCGATGACGGGGCTGATGGCGGATGGTGGCTGACAGACACGCAGCGGCGGCTGTCACATCCGACACAGGTGTCGAACGATCACTGCGCCGCTCCTCGCCGCCGCCGCGCCGGAAACGACGCACCCGTGCGCCGGCGGCCGGGGATACCTCCGTGGCGCCAGCGGGGTGACGGGAAAGGGTTACCGCGAATATGCGGCAGGAAGCCAATGATGATGGCGAAGGTGTGGTAACGGCGGAGGCGCGGTGGGTGAAGGGTCAGGGCAGGGAGAGCATCCGTTCCGGAGCAGGCAGCGGGGTGATGTGCTCAGTGGAGGGCTGGGCGACCGATGCCCCGCTGAGATCTGATGGGGCATGGTGGGTGGGTCGGACTGGAGAGGGTACAGCGGCGGCGGTGACAGACGGATACAGACAGGGAGAAAATAGCAGAGACAGGCACAAAGACAGAGACAGACCGACAGACAGACAGACAGAAAGACAGACATGTGAACAATGAAACGGAAAGTCAGACACATAGACAGACACACACACAGAAACAGACAGGACAAACGGTCGCTCGCCGCCGCCGCCGCCTGCATCTTTTTGGCACTGTGGAGCTCAGAGAACGTCGCAAACATAGCCCAACAATGTCAGCAGCATGCAGCGAGGAGCGGCGGGGAATCTGACCGGACCCGTCTGAGAAACCTCCCAGCATCCATCACCTCTCAGCCGGACGGTGACGGCAGCCGCTGATAGCACTAAACGGCTGCACTGCATCGATCATACGCGACAGCGACGGCTAACTGATGAGCGGGCCACGGGAGATTCCATAGGAGCCAACGATGAATGCATGATGGGCCGCGGTGGCGGCGGGAAGTTTGTTATAAACACGACGTGATGTCAGGTGTCACATGACACAACAGATGACATAGCGCCAAGAGCCCAGGTGATGTCACACAGAAGAGTGTATCGCACCGTTCAACGGGCTATTCCAGTCGTAAACAACGTGTTACATCATGCATGAAATAAGACAATTAAAAGATGGGATATTGAAGCTTCAAATTAACAAGGAGCTTGTCTCATATACAATTCTTAAATCATGAGCAGGTGCTTGAGCTTCGCAGAAAATCTAAGTTTGACATCACTGGCCCTAAAAAAATGCACGAAAAAGGCTGTCATTAACCGTGTTTACATAGGGTTCCCTTAATCTTCCCCTATTTGTCTCTTAAATGTCCCTTATAAAGGAATCCTCTGTCTCCTTTACCTCGCTTCACTACAAATATGGCGCAACTAAGTCATTCTAGAAGCAGTTTGCAATTTTTACTTACCTTTAGGGCTCTCCCAAATAGCTTCCAGACTAGACACTGAGGTAAAAGTGATAGCACATGAAAGCTCAAAGCAAGAAATATCAGAAAACTATCTGGCATTTAACATACTTTAAACGGCTGAGCTATTATTCAAGTAGGCATGGGCGGCGCCACCGGGGGGGACGGGGGGGACAGGTCCCCCGCTATCGAAAGTTAGGGGGGTACAGTACCCCCCTATCGGCGAGGCCCGTTCAATAGTTGATAATAATGCATTATAGAGCTATCCGTCGCATTTAATGCATCGTTGGTTAATCAAGGCAGGTTCTGAATAAATATTGCTGTTGGGATGCATCGCAGGGGGTCCTGGCCATCTGCAAAAGGTGTGGAGCTGTGATGCCTGTAGTTATAAGGTGATCGGCAGGGCCTCGGGGATCGTGCCCCCTTTTTGGGGCGCCAGGCAGGGTTATTACTTATTACCTCCCCACCCCACTGCCAGACCCCATTGCCGATAAAACCAAGTTCACTGAAATTCCATAGATTTCCGTTACTATATGAAAATTTTCCATTCCTAATTAGTCAAATTCAAGCATGGCAGTTCTACCACAGGAACCATTTGAAATCTATGCCATTTAACCCCAGCACTTGTGGGGAGAAGTGTTCGGATAGATCACAGGCAGGACCAAAAAAGCACGCAGTAGCCCAAGACCTTATAATTGGATATAGCATCGGCTCCCTCTCGTCAAGGGGTTCGATAGCACTCGTTTTTTTCTGCAAAACTAAGTTCGGTCGGCGGCCGAACGGCTGGGGGTCTAATCGAGCCCCCCATCCCTCCTCTTCTTACGTCAGCGGCTGTGAAAATGCCATTACCAGCTGTTGAAACATGGCAGTTGCTTTTGCATGAGTGCACGAAAGGGTTTTAGGTACGTGATACGTGAAAGGTTCTACATGAAAATTGAGATACACCAGCTTATCAAATTGTGCTCACTGTGGTGCGCTCGGCTTTACCTTGACTAGTCTTTGAATTCTGGGGTGAAACAGACCAGTCAAGAAACCTGTTCCATAAGGAGAGCCACTAATGCTAAAGGGATGTGGGATGATGTTTCCAGAGACCTTCATTACCTCCCAAAGGGAGTGCCCCGCCATTTGCCAATCCCTGCTGTAGTTGTTACGATTGGAGGGTGAATATGAGAACGATGCAGGTCGCGCCAGCTCGATCATGACGAACACAATGGTGCCGACATCACAGCTCTACTGCCATTTTTGACGAAGTTAATCAACAAGCACCGGAATCCTACCCTGGGGCATTTCACCTGCAGAGGTCGCCGGACCTGAGACCCTTTCACTCATTTTTTTCAACGGTGCATGCGCTCGTTTTTCCCGCAAAGCTCTTGGCAAGTAAAATCAATCAGAAAGTGTGATCAAATAACGGCTGGTGACCTTCCATGACCTAGCATGGCCTTTTGAGTGACCACCGATGACATGACCACTGACGGCTAGCCATTAGCTGCACCCTGCCCGTTGCATATGGATCAGGTGGTGATGTCATGATTCTGAAATTATATTGCAATTTTGGCGCACTTGTCAGAGCAGAAGACATTCCCACTTTTCCTCCATGACTATATGATGGTGAAGCCCTGAAGCTGACCAGACGTAAGATCGAAAATTTGAAAGTACGAAACGTAAGAGTAGCTGGCACTGCTACTCATACCTAAGCAATTCGCAGCTTGTAGGAAACCAGCTTTGAGTTGGCAAGACTGCAAATTTTAATTTAGAGGCAAGGATGCTTGAAAAGGTGATCGATCTTAGGTGTCCTAGGATAAGTTTGGAAACGGGATGCACTATTCGATGTGTTTTGGGCCTTGCCAAGTTTCGCGGCGTTACGTGCCTCGTTTTTTTTTTGCATACACGATCAGTATCTACTTTTGGGATTTTCGATTTTCGGTCCCCGTCCCCCCCTATCGAAAACCCGTGGCGCCGCCCCTGCAAGTAGGTGTAATCACATCCACGGCAATATCAGAACACCGCACCTGTCGAATTTCTGCCTTGACTTTCTGCCGTTTATGCGTTAATGCCACTTAAAAATCCTCAGTCGGCGCACGTGCGCTTGTCGAGTCGGGGACCACCAGTCGGACGATTCGGAACTGCCGGCCAATCAGCACGCCGCTTTTGTGATGTGTTAGTTTGAGAACCACTGGATATGGTAGCGTAGCAGCTTTTGGAAAGGCGCTACGCTACCAAATCCTCCCCTATTTGTCGCTTAAAGAGGGAATTGAAGGGCAGGATAAAAATACTTCAAAATATGAATTG